GAGAGGGAGGGACTGGCTCTACCTGAAAGGGCTTCTCTCCAGTATGAACCAGTTGGTGCCGTTTTAGTTTTGAGCTCTCAACGAAAGCTTTGCCACACTCTGCACAGACGTGGACTCGGGGGCCGTGGGTGTGCAGATGCTTTCTCATGGCAGAGTTATCCCTGAACATCTTTGTGCAGCCCTTCAAACAGAGAGAGAAGCTTAGCGGTTCACGCTGCAAAGTGGACAGAGGGTCAAGCACTGAACAGCCTTCACTGACACCTTAAAATAAAACAACCCCCAGCCCTACGTTTTAATTTTACTTAGTACTACAGTAGAAATATTAAACTATTTAAGACAAAGAACAGACAGCTGGAAAAGGCCTTATTTAATGTAAACCCTTGTTTTACAGATGAGGAAACTGAGGCTTAGAGATGTCTTTAAGTAGACTTGCCCAAGGTCACACTAACAGTAGCCGAGCTGGGAGTAGAACCCAATACCCCGGCTTCCAGCTACTACACCACCGCTGCCTCACCCAACTCCGTCCCCCACATGAAGTAACAGAAGCCCTGAGAAATAAATGGAGTTAAAATGACGGCAGTCCACCACTACCTTTGGTGGGCCCCATATTCTGTGCTGCAAGAATGGGCTGTCACTCTCCATCGCCTACTGTTCCCTCTTCTCTCTCTGCCTCTTTCCCCTTCTTGACAGAGAAAGAAGCAAGAGGGTCTCCAAGGAATGGCAACTACAGAAGAAATTGATTTTGTGAGACACTAGGAAAAGCAGCAGGCAAACTGATACGAGCGGGGCAGCAGATGGGAGTGGCGCTCAGAGAAGCATGTCCTGCCCAATTTCTTCTGCAGTTGTTGCCCAGTGATGGAGTGGGTGGGGGAAATGACAGACAGCACGACAGAGGACAGCACAAGCCAACCAGTGGACAGCTTCACAGGCAGAAAGGCGGGCGGGAAAAGCCACCGTTTTTTTCACCTTGACCCCTAGGCTGAGTTTCCATTTAGAAAATGGGGTTTTCAAGAAGTGGACAGAGAAGCTAGAGAGATGGCAGGCACTCGAAGGCAGAACTGTTTTCAAATGCGTATCTACTTTTTGGCCCCAACAAATATCACTTTACATCTATTTAAAAAAATTCTTTATTCCATTCAAAAATTCTCTCCTTTGTTTTTCTGCACCTGTGTGATAGTTTCTGTTAGTTTTACATCCAACTAAGTTTGAAACCAATCAAACCCAGTAACTCAAAGTACCTTTTAGACTATCATCTTAAAGATTAAATCACATTTGAAAACAATTAAGTACCCCTTTAGTAACACACAATTAACAAAGTATAGAAAACTGTGAAGAAAATGATGACGTCTTATTAGGCTTACGTTGGCAACATCCAAAATAACCTCCAAATTCCTATAATGAGCCTACAGTCCCATAAAAGTCCATGGGTGAGACACAACCCAATGTCTTAAGGTTGACTTGTTAATGATCCAAAAAGAAGAAATAAAATCCTGACATAGCATATTCAGTATATAGTAATAATAAAAATGCTGGTGCCCCATTTAACTGTATTTAAATTTAAGTGGCCTTTACTGAACAAAACTTACATCACAAAATAGTCTCTTGAATTTAGACACCAAAGATTTCAGTTCCTCACTTAATCTCAAATATGAAAACAGAAGTAAAAAGTGCAAATTTCTTAGAATCTCTCTAAAGCTTCATTAACATTCTAGTGAACACTTCCCCCTAGCATTACTTACTTTATGAGGGCAAGCTATTGTTCTTGGAGCATCATCTTCTTTAATTTTTCTTGGCTTCATTCTTACCAAAAGAAAAAAAGAGAGAGAGAGAGAGAGATTTGTAGGAGTGGGTAGACTCAACTGGCATAAATCATATAGTCCCTGAAATGCTTTCCTTACAAGTACAAGAGCTACGATTACAATACGCTTCCATGGGGGGGG